TCACACGTTCTCAATAAATACACATTGGTTATCAATTTAGAGCAACATACAGTCTTCCAATATCAATCATCATTAGATATGAACGTAATAATCACAAGTAGATACACAACACAATTCAATGGTCCTCTAATGGAACCTAATTCAATGGTCCTCTCATGGAACCCACACCCAAACTGTTAGCATACCGGAACGTGGTACCCGATCCAATGCTTATGTCGGAACGTGACAACTGATTCCATATTTATGACGGAGCGTGGCAACCGATCCCATGTTTATGCCTGAACGTGGCAACCGATCCAATCAAAAAGAACTTTTTTTTTTTTCTGGAAAAAGAGTCTCAAATGAAGGAGTGAATTAGTAACTACAATGAAGATTTGAGAAGAAAACTATTGAATGAAAAAGGAAGAATGTTATGAAGTGTAAATGATTTTCATTAGTATTAAAAAAAATTAATAACATAACATATAAAAAATACTAACGGATTTGAGTGTAATTATAAATAAATGAGTATTATATGCATTAATTGTAGAATGATAAATTCTTTTTGATAATAATCATTAATACTATTTAACCCATTTCTAAAGCCCTTTTCTAATTTCTCTTTTACGTTACATTTTTTCCCCATGTTCTCATCTTTATTGTTATCTATTTATTTTCATAAATCCTTCAAGGTTAATGAATGAATGACACAATGTGGCCTGCAATCATATTCAATTGGGCATTTACTGCAATCTTATGTTTAATTGAATTTTATGAAGTTTTTATTAGTAGTCATTTAATTAGTAGCAGAAATGAAATAAAAATGCAATTAAAAATAAAATAATGTCAAAAAAAAGAAAAAAAGAAGAAAAATCCAAATGCTGGTCATAGAAAGGTGCCACATCACCTTTTCTATATCTAGCTTTATATTTATATATAGCTTATTCCTATCTGTAAATAGTGGTGTTTCTTCCTTTGTGAAGTGGGGTAAAAAAAGAAATATGAAAAATGTGAAATAATATTGTAGTGTATAGTAGTGAAAGAGAGAGTTGAGACAAAAAAAATATTCTAAGTCTTCAACTATATTCACTATATAAAAGAGAATATTTATATGTTGAACAAAGGTATTCTTTTAGTGGAGCTTTGGGCTCTTCAACTATTACGGGGTTACTTGAGTTGTACGGCGTTATTGAGCTATGTATCCTGGAGGGGATAAGTCCAGAGTGATACTGCTGGATCAGTGTAGATTATGTCGTACTGAACTTGAATCTCCTTAAAGAGGGCAAAATATCCGCACCTCAGCCTAAATGATTATTTATAATTATTATTTTATTTTTAACTATAATTTATTCTATTGTGGTATATTACACCAATACCTATTCCTAAGTGTTAGAGCCGTTAATATGGGCTAGGCCCGTTGGGCCGGCCTAACTTAACCCGTGATTTGATAGGGTTGGACTACGATTTTTTAAGCTCATTTAAGAAAATAATTTTTTATTCGGCCTGAATAAGCTTGTCGATTTGCGGGGCTTAGAAACATGTATAGGGTCGGCCTGTGGGCCAAATAAAAAATAAATAAAAATAAAAAATAAAAATAGAGTATTAATAAAAAGGAAAAATTACTTTAGTATGTACCTTTTAATAAATAATTACGAATTTTAGCAATACTTTTTATTTATTATCATTTATAGCAATATGTAGCAATACTATGATAAATCTGCAATATGTATTAAAAGTGAATTATGTATGCAATATATATGTATTATAATTGTTTTAAAATATATTATGCTTGTTTGGTAAGAAATTGACACATTGTATTATAAGTGTATTAAAATGTGTGATAAATGTATTATTCACCAATAAAACTTGTATTATATGTGCTTTATAAATTGTTCTCTATAATATGTATTAAAATTGTATTATAAATATATTAAAAGTGATCAAGTGAAAGAAAATGTTATTGCTATAAATGGTAAATATTTTCTTAATATAGTATATTTATGTAAGTTTCCCTATTAAAAATAACAAGAGTCTAAACTCAAAATCTGTTTAAAGTTTAAAATATTACAATTTAAATACAAATTATGTTTATAAAATATGTACTGCATAAAATAAAAAATTCCCTAAAATTTGTAGGGAATCACTACATAGGTGATAGACTATGGAATATTGTCATAGTTTTTGTGTTTTATTATGATCATTGAAAAATAATTATGATAATATTTCTATTTAGCTATTTATGCTTTTACTTGAAATCAAACTTAATAAATATTATAAAAATAATTTTATTTGTGTATTTGATTAACAAGTAGTAACACTAACACCATGCAATATTATATTGTCGATATTTATGATGATATTTTCGAATTATAATTTAATTTAAAAAATTATAAAATAATATATTTTTAAGAAAAAAGGGCTAGTCTGACAAAGTCCGTAGCCCACATACTTGTGGGCTGGACCTACCATTTTTTGGCCACACAAAAAATGGGCTAGCTCGGCCTGACCTGTTAAAACTCAAAGCCTATATGAGTTAGCCCGAATGAAGTGGGTCAACCCATATTGACAGCTTTACTAAGTGTCATCCTCCCTTTCGATAATGATTAAAGAAGAATAAAGAATAAGCCAGTTTCAAAAAACCTGTAGATATCTTCAAGAAACTACATAGATATGTCAAAACTATGCTAAGTATTAGAATGGGTTGTCTTCGAGTTGTTAAGTGATGTCTTCATCGGGGGAGTAAATACACGCTACACTCTTTTTTCTTAATTGGATTTTATCCCACTGAATTTCCTTGGGAATTTTTTTTAATGAGTCAACAAACCTAGCATATGACTATATTATTTCTTTCACTATTGTTTTTACATGGACATCCAATAGGGAGTATTGTAAAATGAATGTCCACATAAATATATTTTGTGTTGTAACACAAATGTACAAATAATATATTTTGTGTTGTAATATACATATACACACAATATACGTAGTGTTGTAAGATAAATATACACAATATATTATGTGTTGTAAACTAGCTATCCATATAATATACTTGGTGCTCAAGTACAGGGTCGACTCAATAACATTGGAGGCCTAAAGCGAAATTTAAGAAAGGGGCCCTAATTTTTTTTTCATTATATGCTTTTATTTAAAGTATACTTTTCTAGCTATTTCAGATGCAAAGTCATTAAGTATTGTTTTATAATCAATTTATTTTAATAATTCCTTTTCAAATGATAATATAGTTAATTCATTCAATCTATCTTGAGACATTGTTGATCTTAAAGAAGATTTAATCAATTTTAATTTCGAACAAAGAAAAATTTGGTTGAGGCAACGGTTATAAGAACTGTTAACACAATATGTGTACTTGGAAAAGAATCAAATCTTTTATTGGATTGAATATTTTCATTACATCATTTATCTTCTACTTGTATTATTTATCTTTAACACTTTTACTTCAAAAAATAAATCTAAACCATCAATTCAGAATAACTAGTATGTGTTAAAGAAAGTTCAAGGTTAAGACAATATTTTTTTAAAAAATTCATCCTCTAGTAATCTCAATATTTTACCACTAAATAAGAAATCAAAAATATTTTTATATGCTTCAATTGGTTCAAATCTATTTTAAAGTGAAAAAATAGTTTGATCTACTCTATATATATAACGTAATCAACTCTAAAGATTCTTCGAGGGACTTAGTGATTTCGTTATTCATATTTTCATCAAATTGTTTCTTACGAAAACCATATTTATATTCAAGTCATAAGCAATTTCTTTAGTAGAAATCATAGCACTCATAGTACATATACTTTTTTTAAATAATAATAATATATATAAGTAATTGTTTTTTAAAAATGGGGGATCCAAAATATATGGGGCCCCAAGCGATGGTTTTAGTGGCCTAGGGGTTAAGACAACCCTGCTCAAATATATACAATATACATGACAAATACATATTCATATAATTTACCTGATATCCAAGTATATACACACATTTAGAAAATAACTATATCCCTCTTCTTGTAACAAAAAATAAGGTAAAAGTAAGTGAAAAGAAAAATAATTTACTTATTCCCTCCGTCCCATATTAGATGGACACTTTCTATATTACACATTTATTAATAGATTAATCAACTTTACTATTTTGCTCTTTATTCATATTAATTAGCCTCTTGAAAAAAGAAACTTTGAATCTTTAAAATTCGTTCAAACTTCCAAAGTCATATTAATTATAGGGGAAAAATGAGAATAAAATAATTAATTCTATCCTAATTTTATAAGTAATCAAGTACTCCATCCGTTCACTTTAACTAGTCACATTTTGATTTGGCACACACATTAAGAAAATATTATTGATAGATGTATTTTATCAAACTATCCCCTATTAAATGATATTTTGAAAAATAAGTAATTAATACTGATGATAAAACATGAAAAAGAATTATTTTCTTTTCTTGATATGTCAATACTGACAAGTAAAAATGAAAATCTATTTTAGGTATAAGTAATAAGTAAAAATGAATGAAGGGAAGAATATAAAACAAATATTTTTAATAAGATCCATCTAATATGAATAGAGGTAATAACATTTTAATTTATTTTCTTCTTAGTTTAGTATATTACCTTTATTTTATTATCAACAACTTGTTTTTTACCCTAAAAAATGGGGATAAATTCGTTTTAAGTGCTGCGCATTACCGCAAAGTTATAAAGGAATCAGAAGCACTTGACGGACTAATAGAATTGTGATAAAGTGATAAATATTTTTTTATTTTTAATTAAGAAATTTGGTGTTCGAGCTTCTTGGTATGGTATTTTTCGACACAAATTTAAATTTAATCGAACTCTAATATGAATATCTGACACACAGTGAATAAAAAAAATTTAACTGCAAGGAAATAAATACAGGAGCGTATCTAGAGGGGGTGCCGTGGGTTCACATGAATCCATGCTCCCCTCTTTAGATTATATATAAATAGCAGGATGAGCACAACAATTGTCTTCCTCTCCTTTTCGGTGACCGAGCAAAAGAGATTTTGAGAGTGGTGGGTGCTGTTGGACAATAGAGATCTACTGATTTCATCCTCTCTCATCGGCCGATCTTCGGTAACCACACAGCTTTTCCTTTTTTTGTTTGAATATCTCATCTCAGATCTATCTCTTTACCCAACTGAAACTCTCCTAATTGAAGGTGGTTTGGACCTTAGTTTCTGTTTTTTTTTTCCGAAATCACAACGTTTTCAAATTGTAATATCTGCTCTATCTGTGATTTTTTTGTTTCCTTGAAGGAATTTTAGCCACTAAATGATGCTCCTTCCTCTCTACTATTACATTTACATGTAGCATTATATGTTTCATAACTCATCATTTGTTCAGGATCATTATGGAAAAGTGTGTCAGAGGGTAACAATAATATTGTTTTTGATATCCTCTGAAGTTGTGACCATAAATGGTGTGTTTATAGTGGTAAAAATTTAACAGTTTGGGATGGCTAGTGGTTTAGTCTTGGGACTTCCAACAAGGGATGACTAGTGGTTTGGTCTTGGCACTTCCAAGTTGGAGGTCTCAAGTTCGAAAGCAAGAGGTTTGCCTTTTGGGTCGAGCTCTTGCGAGCTATTGCATAGGAGTATGAGTTTTACCCTGTGTGTGCACCCAAAGGATAGCGGCTGCGGGTTTTTCTTGTCATCAAAAAGAAAAAGTGGTAAAATTTGTCTGCTTCTTCCCCATATTAATAATATTAAGAAGAAATTGATGGGTGTTGGTGGGTATCGTCAACACTGGAGATTTGTTAAGTATTGATACAGAAATGACGAGGACAGGGGAAAGGGTTCTGGCCTGGAAATAATTCATATGCTAATTATTTTGTTTGGAAAGTAGTTGCTTTCTTAGATTTCATCCCTCATATTAAGTATTTATGTTATTTTTCAGATTAACGGAGATGGGTCTGTCTTTCACTAAACTCTTTAGTCGCCTCTTTGCAAAGAAAGAAATGCGAATTCTTATGGTTGGTCTCGATGCTGCTGGTAAAACCACAATTCTGTACAAGCTCAAGTTGGGAGAAATTGTTACCACTATCCCAACCATTGGTAAGCTTCATTCTGTGGAATCTGTTTTAGTTTTCTTTTACTTTTTCTTTTACCTATTTTGATTCGCCATTTTGCATGTTTAGAGATTTAACTCATCATGGGGTATGCTACTTGAAAGTAAGCTTATATTGATCTGTATGGCCAAAAGGAATGTGTTTTGTCTATCCATTGATTACTGTTATTTGATAGGTGTACTTCCAAAGATTGGCTTACTCTAGAAAAATTATTAGACATTATTTGCATTTACATGTGCTAATATGGGAGATATTGTATTCTCTGAGAATGGGGATGATATGTTGGGGAATCAAACAATTTTCGCAGATTGCTATTATAGCCATAAATTTTGTATCTTAATCTAATGCTTATCATGGGTGTTCTTAGGAGAGATTTCTTGATCATGCCATGTAATTTGAACCATTTTCTATTTCAATGATAGGCTTCAATGTGGAGACTGTTGAATACAAAAACATCAGCTTTACTGTGTGGGATGTTGGTGGTCAGGACAAGGTACAAGTAGTTCTTATGCCCTGATTAACTGGTTTTGTCTTATATTACCTGGGGTCTTGCAGTACGTCAGTTCTTCATGACTCAAATTTCTGGTAATAGTTTATCAACTCTGAAGAAGCTTTTTAGCACGCGAAACCTTTATGTCACTCTCTCCCTTCACTGAAAATTTGTGTTGGTTGCATGATTTTCTTGTAAGACTTTTTCATCTGATGAAGAAGTACATACTTTTCTGACTTTGATAAGCTTCCATAACTAGTTGAGCATAGTTTGGCCCATTGATATTAATTTACTGAGAATACCTCTATTAATGTGGAATTAATGAGCTTATGGACGGTCAGGTGTTGACTATACTTTTATCAACACCTAACATGATCAATGCTATACTGAACTGAGTTAGCTAGTTTCATGTCTTCTATCTTCTAAAGAATAGCAAATTATCTTGTGGCAAACATGTTTTTGACTTTTCATAAACTACTGTCATTGGATTTTTTAAATTTATTTTTTTGGTTTCTTTTGATAACCAAGAAATCTGAGTGCTATAGTGGCACACCGTCCGAGACTTGGTAGGTAATGGGCCAATCCCTCTAACTTTCTCTACTTAAATATACCAGACTTCTGTTTGCAGCATGGTTCGAACCCATCCTACTCCACACATCATGTGTTACACAATTGTTCTACCATACTATGAATATGCATTTGCTGTGGGAGACTCAAAAACCTAGAAAATAAGTTGGGAAATAAGGAATTGTTCTATGAGACCTATAGGAATATAACCTTTGAAGGCGAGTTTTGTGAGGCTAAGAGAAGGTTTCATAGAAGCTTCGAGGGTAGCATTTGTTTTGAGGTCATGCTAGGTAATTTGTAAATAAACAACTGAAAGGGAGTATGCTGTTGAAGCAGTACATGTGCAGCAAAGTAGGGAGTCTTACACATTATCCTTCTAAACCTGTGGTGATTTAAACCCCTCTAAAATAGATTTAACATCATCTACTTGTTCCATCTTACACCAAAAACAATATAATTTGACTTCAACTTCTGTATGTTTTCCATGTCTTGAAAGCATCTTCTCTTTCTCTCAATCCAAACAATCCACCAAGGCACTGAACAGTAGCTGGTTTAATGTTGCACAAATCCTCTTTTCTCTCGGCCAACCCTTTTCCGCTCCAATTCTTCAATGACTTATTAGTTTGCTGTAGCATTACCCACTGTAACTCCACAAGCTGAGCAGTGATGGGGCAGTGCAAATAAAGGTGACTGCAAGTTTCGGATGACTTTCAACATAAAAAACACCTGCTGCACTGGTTAAATCCTCTTTTCTGTGGGTTTTCATGTGTGAGACATGTTAGCTTATAGTGTAGCCTCTGTATGAAACATTCTAGAATTTGGAGCATGTAGGCATTTATGACCATGTATTTATGTTGGAAAATGTATGACCTGAAGTGAGAAGTCAGAAGAGAAGGGTAATAATGATATGGTAATTCGTTAGAAGGAAAGGATTTTACTCTCCCACTCAATTAGACGTGTTAACGAGTCGAGTCTTTGCTGAAAATGCTAGGCTTTGGCTGCTTTTAATGCAGCACCACCTCATTTACTTAACTTGAGCCAGTATTATTTGATAGTTAGAAATCCTTGCTCAGCTTTGGCTTAAGTCATGTATTCTCTATCAGCATTTCTTTTTTTTTTTTGATAAGGAACACTTTTTTGCTTCATTCTTTTTCCACATTTTTTATACACAGATCACACAACCACACAGAACATGCTCGTTGCTCATTTCTCCACGGTTCTCCTCATGTCGTTGTTGTCATGTCTTTTCGTGGAAAACTGCTACTTACCGACTCTTAGGCATTGCTTCCAACCCCCCTCCTCCTCACTCTTTACCTCCCTTCTGCTCATATTTATTTCGGACAACCAAAAATATCTCAAGGGCCAGTGGTGCACAGTTCGGAACTCGGTTGAATAATTGGCCGTAACTTTGCCCTTCTCCTCTTAAATACTAAGCGTTCGTTTATGGTATGGTTTGAACCCGTGACATGCGCCCTAACCCCAACATCCCATGTTGTGCTCTCACCACTAGACCAAATCCCTTGGGGCCAACCCTCTTCTCATATCAACCAAATGAGATACAACATATGAAAAGATTATCCAAACGACATAAGGGATGTGAAAAAGATTTTATCAAAATGAGATGCGGAATATGAAAAAGATTATAGAGCTGATTATATGCTTGCTCATTTGGACCTGTTTAGAGATCTAATTTGTTGTGTTCAAGCTTTTCAAAATGGTCTATAGTCTTTGTTTCAAACTAGGAAAAGTAAAAATTGAAGCAAAAACGAGCTCACAAATGATTTTTCTCTTTATATTTGTCTTTCTAGTTTGATCCACAACAAGTAAAGCTTAACTATACATGTTCGACCCAAGTTGAATTTCTGTTCAAGATGATCATAACACATGCTAATGAGCTATGCTCAAGCTTGTGTATGATCCAAACATGTGGAACTGGCATGTTTACACCCTTAACCCTGAATGGAAGGTCAAGAGTGAGATGCATGGTAAACATTGGTTATCTCTTCATCCTTGAGATCTCATGGAGGCAGCAAATTGCAAGAACTTGCTCTTAGCCTGAGGAGATAGTTCCTGAACTGGTGTCAGTTACATATAGCTAAGGCATAAATTGGTGTCCCGTAGAGCAGGCAACAAGTTATCTCGTAAGAGTCCCCGTCTGAGTGAGGCATCAGTCGTGAAAGCTTGATCATACTGAACTTCAGTTACATAAAGCTAAGATGGAAACTGGTGTCCAACGATAAAAAAGAATTTTTTTACCGTGGACCCAGGTTTTGGCTTAGAATTGTAGTTTCAGTCGCACAATTTCCTATGCGTAACCTGTGGTTTGTTGATTATTTACAAAAGTGATGAGTATGAGGCAGTGTGTTGAGCACTTAGGGAACGTTAGATTGTTGAATAGAGTTATGACTTATGCAGGTATTAGTAATAATGAATGTACTAGTTATTCATGTTTAATAGAATATCCCTGTGTTAGTTATTCAATCTTCTACCCTGCTTTATACAATTCAGATTTTGACCCACAACTTATACATGTTTTATTTATGTGGAATTGTAAAATGATAACCAAACACAGTTCTTGGTATGCTGGATTTTATACAAAGCAACTAAAAGCTACCATGCATGATATTGCTATGCTAGTTTTAGTATATGAATAGTCTTAACCAGCAACCAAACGACCCTTGATGGATATAAGTGGACTTACGTTATTTCTTTTGTATTTGAATTGGCTATAGCACCTTGTCCATAAGTGTACCTATCTTGGTTCTTTTCAATTGTCGTTTCTACGATCTGTTGGGGGTTTCATGTGTTTTAAAGTTAAAGGTATATTTCTTTCTGATTCCAGAAGAGCTAAAAGCCTAAAATTGTGTTTCTACTGTTATCTTTTGTGTTGCACTTGCAGATTAGACCTCTATGGAGGCACTATTTCCAGAACACACAGGGCCTCATCTTTGTGGTTGATAGCAATGACAGAGACCGTGTAGTTGAGGCAAGGGATGAGCTTCACAGGATGTTAAATGAGGTAATTGTGATGTTGTTATAGTTGGTTAGAAATATCTTTGATAAATGTTAAACTGGATATCCGTCTAACCTCCTTGGGGTACAGCAGTTCTTGATATCTGAATACGTTTTCTGCAGGATGAATTAAGAGAAGCTGTGTTGCTTGTTTTTGCGAACAAGCAAGATCTTCCAAATGCAATGAATGCGGCTGAAATCACCGACAAGCTTGGCCTTCATTCTCTCAGACAACGACACTGGTAATTTATATGGGCACCAACATCAAGTTCGTTTTTCTGTCAATTAGCCTCTTAGATAAGCTGGCATCTAAAGACCCCCCCCCCCCCCCCCTCACAGGTATATCCAGAGTACATGTGCTACTTCTGGAGAAGGGCTATATGAGGGACTGGATTGGCTTTCAAACAACATCGCCAGCAAGGTATATGCAGTAACTGCATCATTACAGTACTCAGCTTTTCTAAAAAAAAATAATAAAATCTCTTACCTGTAACTTCTGGTGCAATTTCAGGCCTAATGCAATGATGTGGTACTATGCTTCTTGTGTTGCTATATCCGGAGAAATAAACATCATTGTCTCGAGATTTTAAATATCTGTTCAGCTCACAATTCTGGGGAAGGTCTTGCCCTTCTTCACTCTCTATGGTTTATCGTCAAAGACCATGATAGTTTCCACATTGCTGGATGCACATTGGCAATGTAATGATATTTTAGTATATATCTGGTTTTGAAACTTGGCGCAGCCGTGTGCACCATTTTGTTGTCCTGTGTGTCTGATGTTGCAATGGGTGTACAAAATGTAATACAGATCAATAGTAAGTATCGGAATTTTGCGAGTAGTAAGAATATCACTTGAGTTGCTGTTCGTTGTTCATTGGCCTATCGGTTTTCGACTGAAGATTATTTCTTAGTGTGCCCTATTTCTTTTAGAAAATCTATTCCATCTTTGGGACGAGAAATGCATAAATGGAAGAACAAGGGTGGACATGCAATGAAACTTGATAACAAAGGCTTAGTAAAGAATAAGAAACGAACAGAAAATTTGAACCACAAGAATATTAGTATATTGTTTTTGTGTTGTCTAGAATTTCTGTCTTTCAACTGAATATAACTACTATTTATGGGTAACTAAGGCAATATATTAGCTACTGGAAAGTCCACTCAATCCTTTAAGTACATGTCCAATTGAAATGTTCCACCTTGAAATATCGTTATGTGCACCAACTCATATTTCTCGGTAATATCTAGGGTCTCGTATGGATATATCTGATTGACATATATGTTTTTTGTCCCTTTATTTTGTATTCATGATACAAGTCATTCCGGGCCACAAGTTTCCGCCGTATCACCGACAACGACCATATGGTATGGATTATGATACTCAATTTTGACACTCCTTTCCTTTTGTCATTTTACTCATTAGAACATTTATTTTATTCGTGGGGCAATAATAATAATATTAATTCTACTTATTTTATCAAATTTTGTGCTAACAAATATTATTATAATTATTTTTGTTGATGTTAGGTTTAAATAAATATAATAGTGTTACTATGTGTTTGGTGGCTGATTTGATATTGATTCATAATTGTTGGCACCTAATTTTGAATATTATTCATATGTTTTCTCTCATTGCTTCGTTACTGTTTATTTATACTATTTAAGACCATAATTTACATATATTATTTTAATTTTTTTTATTTATAACATTAACATTTTAATTACAAATATGACAATTTATTAATAACAATATAATTAGTGCACCTTTTTTTTAACGTGGAATACTGTTTTATTTACCACAAACTAGGATTCCCTTTTAATTTATTTATTTTCAAAACTAGCCTTCCCTTTTCATGAAAAGTTGTGACTTTTATGAAAAAATGCGATTTTTATGAAGAGTTGTAACTTTTATGAAAAGTTATGAGTTTAATGATGAGTTGCGACTTTTACGAAGAGTTGAGACTTTTATGAAAGGATGTGACCTTTCCGAAGGGTTGTAACTTTTCCAAATAGTTGTAACTTTTTCGATAAGGCACAATAAACACTACCCTTTGTTGTCTATAAATAGAGGAGTTTTCTCTCATTTTAAAACAACAAAAATTCTGAACCTCTTTTTCGTCTTCACAATATAATATTTGTGTACTTTGCTCCTATTGAGTGACTCACTGACACCATTGCTTATGTTACATATCCTGGTATGTATTTTTACAATCATTAATTTATACTTATGTCATTAAGGATAAATGATAAGATGTAATAATTTTCATTTCTCTTTAAATTATTAATGTTTGTTACTACATAATCTTGTATGTAAGATAATATAGTGTTTTAGTTTTAATGACTGATAGGTTTTAAGAATTATTTTATAAATTCTGTGATATTAAATTTCAGCGCAAAGCACGGATAATTTTACTAGTATATATATATATAAAAGAGAACACTAGGCCCGCCTACTTGGCACCACCACAAACCAGGATTCCTTTTTAATTTATTTATTTCCAAAATTAGCCTTCCCTTTTATGAAGAGTTGTGATTTTATGAAGAGTTGCGACTTTTACGAAGAGTTGCGACTTGTACGAAGAGTTGTGGCTTTTATGAAGAGTTGCAACTTTTATGAAAAGTTGCGACTTTTTATGAAAAGTTGCGACTTTTTATGAAAGGTTGTGACTTTTCCAAAGAGTTGTGACTTTTCCGATAAGGCACAATAAGCATTTGTTCACACCACCCTTTGTTGTCTATAAATAGAGGGATTTCCTCTCATTTTAAAACAACGAAAATTCTGAACTTCTTCTTCTTCTACACAATTAAATATTCATGTACTTTGCTCCTGTTGAGTGGCTCACTGACACCGTTATTTTTGTATCAATACACTGTTGAATAGAATCATTCTATCCTGAGAGGATCTATTTCTTTAAAACTCGGGTACTAGAGGGAAATAATTTTCTTACGGGGACAATGTGAATTCAATGGGCTCCATTTTTCCTTTCTGTTTCATTCGATTGTTACAGATTGTAGTATGATTTTTTACAGTCATTAATTTATGCTTTTGTTATTAATTGCTGATTTTGAATACATGTTTTAAACTTTGTTGTTTATGTTTATGATTTTGATCATTATGTTGAAGTAAAGATATGTTAATCAAGAGTTTGATGTAATCATTAGACTATTGGTGTCATGTAGATTAGAATTCTTAAACTTGTGAAATGAATGGCTTTGATTTTTGTAGAGTTTTCAGTGGCCAAAAGATCCATGGGATGTCCACGAAGGGACTTTTGAGTGTTCAGAAGCTGTGGTGGTTTCATACTACCTTAGAGTTTTAGTTATTCAACCTTTTATCTTCTCGAGGTATTCAATCGATTAGTGACATAAAAAAAGGAATGTAATGGGATGGTAAGTATTGTACCCAACCTTAATCAAAAGTTTGGGGTTCAAATTTCGAATTGGAATCAATGAATTACCCCTCAAAGTAGGATCAATCCATATTAATCAAATCTTAAAGAAATATTTATCTCCTTATAAATATTAGATTAAAAATCGCAAATAATTAAAGTATTAACCATATTGATCGAAACATAAACAACAAAATATGCCTTTTGTCTATCAAAGTAGTGCCACCGATTGCGAATGGTTTTGAATAAGGGACTTGCCAAGACATCATTTAATCCAAATTATTTGAGTGACATACGTTATTTCATTGAACTCCAAGAGATGTGTTTTTATATTTAATTAACTTATCAAGTACACAACTAATTACATAAGATGTATAACATTTAGATTCTGTATGTAGAGGCCTTGAATAGGAGAAAAACTCTCGCAATTGATGAATAAAATGTTTGTACCACTTTTTAAAAATACAAATATAGACAATGAAATAATTACATATCTTTTCTAAAGAATTTGATAATGAAGAACTAGAGTAAAATGAAGAATTAATAACAAAATGCATAAGCAATTTGACTAAAATCTTTTTGATTTTAAGATTAAAAAAATATTTCATTTCATTTTTGAATAAAATATTCTTGACAATTTATCATAGGGCTATCGTGGGGCTTTACCCACTCGAAAACACTAATATTATCAAATGTTCAGAAGTAGATTATTGACGTAGTTCACCACCGCGCGAAGCGCGTATAATTTACCTAGTTATTGTATAAAAGTTGGTATTCAGACATCAATCTAGTAAGAATAGTATATCATATTTTAATCCAACAATATACCTCAATATAAACGTACAAATTTCTTGCAGTGTACAATAAGTATAAGGTTCGATAATGTAAGCATATAATATACTAACTTATACCATATTTCATACCAACATGGTATCATATAAAATACCAACCTTCATGAAATAAATACTACCATATAGACATCATATAAAATAGTAACTTATACCATATATCACACCAACATGATATCATATAATATACTCCAACTTTCCTTGAAATATATGCTATCATATAGTCACTATATAATATACTAACTTTTTTTTTTTTTAACCGTGGTTTCCGGGTGTTGCTTTACGAATCCGACTAGCTGTACCCATCGGGTCCCGCTGTTTCAAGGCGGGTGCACCACGGTTAGTTCCACGGGGCCCTGGAGACGCGGCCGGTTTGTAATGCCTCCAGTGGCCCTGTTGGGGCTCGAACTGGCGACCTGAAGGACTTTGTCCTCAGGCCTTTACCAGCTGAGCTACCCCTCAGGGTTATATAATATACTAACTTATACCATATATCATATCAACAAGATTTCGTTTAATATAACAATTTTTATTGAAATAAATACTACCAATTAGAGATCATATAATATACTAACTTATACCATATTTCACCCTCAATGTGAAATCATATAATATATTGATATTTTTAAAATAAATATTTTCTAATATATTAACATTGTGTTAATTGATTTACGTCTTTTTTGTTCGAAATTATTCGTTTTAAACCATAACAAAACCAACATGGTTGGAATTAATAAAAATAAAATTAATAATTGAAAAAATAACACCATTTTAAAAAATTCTTAACAATTGAATCACTATGCAATCATTTATAACATAACTATTCTGAAGAAAAAAAAATATTTATTCAAAATAATTAAAAACAACAATCAATTCTTAAATATTTTTCAGAATTAACTATGGAAAAATGAATGATATTGAGGTTATGAAAGAGAAACATTAAATAACAATTGAGATATTTGTGGAAAGTAAATAACAAAATGGAGTAAATTAAGGGATTAGAATTTTATTTATTATAGAATTGTGCGTGGGTTATTTTTCATTTTTTTTTATTTTGTTTTATTTTGTAATGATTCTATTGCTATTTGGTAGCATATTTTTCAAAGAAAGCATGAAAGAATCCTTCTCACTTCTGACAAGTCAAGTAAGAATTCTTAACAAACTCATATAATTAATTTAGAGTCCAAGTTACCATATAATATATATATATATATATATATATATTTTTTTTTTTTTTTTTTTTAATAATATAAGTATTATGTGATTTATTTTTAAATTTTTTGATATGTATTTCTAAAAATGAATTGATTGTGTAATTTTCTTGTCCACCGTCAGTCCGTCACTGGATATAAGTTAATTAGTATCCATTGACGGTGGACAAGAAAATTACACAATCAACTCATTTTTAGAAATACTTATTTTTCTTTTTATTTTAATTAATATATTTACACATTTAATGATTAATGATTTTTTTTAAAATTAAAACACGTACAGGTTTATCATCTTTCTTCCTCTCTTTCATACCTTTCTCATCTCTGTCTTTGAATCTTCTTCTATAAATATCAAAATATGATGCAAAATTGCTGAAATGGTGCGTCTATTTTTCCAAGTGTAAGATTACTGCATTT